TAAACATTTTCCAACATTAAACCAAATTTTCCTTCCTGCAAGTAACCCAGCATGGGCCTGATGCTGACCTTTGCTTATGGTCCACAATCTCTTGGCTAATATTGTTTTCAGAATATTTTGTCACATGTGTTCAAAGAGAGGCTGATCTGTAATGTTTCTCCTCATCAGGTCTCTGTGGCTTTATGGTGTTGAGTTTATGCAGGTCCTGAATTTTGTTGAGGTCACTTCCCTTCTAGTCTATATTAAGTAATAATTTGTGTAAAATTGGATTATCTATTCCTTGACTCATTTGTAAAGCTGATGAAGTCATCTCAGCCTGCAGTGTTATGGGAGGAAATTTTTTAGAGTTTGCTGAGTTCCCTTACTTGTTATAGGAGGCTTCATGTTTTCTTTACTTCTTGTTGAGTCAGTTTCAGTAAATGGCACTTTTCTAAGAATGTTTCTATTAAACCTAGATTTTAAGTTTACCAGTATAAGTTTGTTTATATTTTATTATCATTTAAACATCTGCAGTTTATTAATAATGTCCCCTTTATGTTCTCTTCATTTTTTTCAAAATAACTGCGTTTTATTATTCTATTTCTTTGTTTTTAAATTTAACCTATTTATTTGAAAAGGTCCTTCCCTTTATAATTTCTTGTCTTTATTCTGCTGCATTTTGTAACCTCCTACGTTAGAGAACAAGCTTGTTAGTTTTCAATCTTTTTTTTATGGAATAATCTTTAAAAGTTATCACCTTTCTCTAGCTACTGCTTTGACTGTATCACACACATTTTGAAAAATCTGTTTTTCTTACTCAACCATAAAGATTTCTCGTTTCCATTATAATCATCCTTTAATGTACAGGGTGTTTAGAACCGTGCCTCTAAATGCCCAAAGACACAGATACTTGAGATATGCTTTTTTATATTGTTGCTAATTTGCTACATTGTGGTCGGAAAACAGTGTGAATGAGATGAATTATAGCCGGGTGTGTGGCTGACATTGAGAAGAATAGACGTTCTGTAATTACTGGACATAGGACCCTGTGAGCCTTTGGATCAACCTCAGCAGAATACATATAGAATGATAATTCATCAGGCAATATTCTAAATGCTTTTATCACTCATATAACTTCCCCAAAGCTCGCAAATTTATATAAACATGTGTGGGGCCTCCCTGGTGGCAGCCCATGAGGCTGTCTGCAGCCAACGCAGCACAAGGTCGATCCCCCACCAGGGAGCTACCCACATGGTGCAGCAGACCTCTCCTGACTGGCCTGCTGCTCCCCTCAGCAGTGGCTTTCAGTAGATCCACCTGTCCTGCGCCCCACTCTGTCTCTGGTGAATCTTCTCACCCCCTTCACCTCTGGCCTGTACCCCAACTCTTGTATGCATAAATAAATAAATCTTTAAAAAAATATGTGATTTGCACAAAACCTGATGTGGTCTCTGTTATTCTTCCTCTTTTACAGACGGGGTCACTTAGTGTGGAACCATCAAGTGACTCTTTCAGGGTCCACATGATTAAGTGCCAGCCCAAGACTGGCCGTGGTGGGCAAGCAACACTGACTTCCCAGCATATTGTGACTTCCCTTATTGTGAGTGTCCCTTGCTAATGTTTATTCTCCATCTATCAATTGTTTAGAGGAGCACTTCCCTGAACCCCTACGTAAGGATGGTTTGTCAAACTCTCCTTGAAGCTGTTAGTTCTAGCTTTATGTATGTTGAGACTACCGTCGTAGATGCATTGGTTTTGAAATTGTTCCTTGTGCCTCTGATCATTGCCTGGGGGACCTTGTTTTTTCTCAAAGGTTGACTCTGTTTATATGAAAACAGCTATACTTTCTTCCCCTGACTGGTAGCTGCCTGGTATACCTTTGCTGTCCCCCTGGTATACCTGGTAGCTGTCCCCATACCTTTGCTTCAAGGTAGATTATGTGAACTAGATGCCTTTCATTAAAACAGGGTAAGGCAGGGCTTTAGATATATTTTTAAATAGCAGTATATTGTATTACAGTGATTGATATATATATATATATATATATATATATGTTTTAGTGCCCTCATTAAGAATCAGTATGTGAATTCCACTCCTAGGTATTTACCCAAATGACACAGAAACATTAATTCCAAAGGGCACCTGCACACCTATGTTTATAGCAGCACTATTTACAATAGCTAAGCTATGGAAACAACACAAATGCCCAAAAATAGATGACTGGATCAAGAAGATGTGGGGCATATACACAATGGAATATTACTCAGCATTCAAAAAAGATAAACACATGCAGTTTGCAGCAACATGAATGGAGCTGGAAGGGATCATGCTCAGCGAAATAAGTCAGAAAGAAAAAGAAAAATACCAGATGGTCTCACCATAGCAGGAATTTAGAAAACCTAAATAAAGGACTAGGAAAAAGACTAATTAATACAAAGTAAAAATCAAAGTCAACAAGCAACTATAAACCAGAGACACACTATGGGGCAGGGGGGGGGCGGGGGGCGAGGAAGGATTAGGGTCAAAATAAGGGGGGGTGCAATTGTATGGGGAATATAACCAAAATGAAAATGCATACATTGTGCAAAAATGAAAAATGATGTAAGAATTACATAAATAAAATATTAAAAAAAAGAATCAGCATGTGTATGGACTCGACTTTATTTTCTGTCCTCTCTGAAATTCTGACTCTTTTAACTCAAGCATTTGCTAATGTGTATTTATTGTAATTATTTTGATTGTATATTGTAATTATGTTTGGATTTATTTTGTGTCAACTGATTTTGTAGTGTCTAGTCACTTGTCTTTTCTCCATATATTAACCAATTCTGGTCTCCTTTTGAATTATTTGTCATTCGAACTTTTCTCTCCCCTAATCTAAGTGATGTGCATCATATTTTCTATTATTCAATAGATACCCAAGAAACGTAAAGGTCCATGCTAATTTAACACAGACCTGGACTACTGGCACCTAAACAATATCAGAAGTTTGGAACATTCCAGTTCAAATTACTTCCCTCCTGACTCTTGTGTCGTGTCATTGATGCATCTTGCAGCTTTTGGAAATTGACATATCCTTAAAATAAATAAAGACTTACTAAATCTGGCCACTATAGGAGGCACCATTCTGCTCCTTTTGACCATTATCTCTTTGATCAATTCCAAGATCTGCCTCTGGGTTTACTTTAACTGGAAGAACAACCTCTGGAATTTTCTTTAGAGAAGTTCCGTAAGTGGTTAAACTCTTCATTTTTGTTCTCTAAAAATGACTTAATTTCACCCTTATTCTTACAGTATATTTTTTGACATACCCAGTTCTTGGCTGACAGTTATTTTCTCTCAGTACATGGAAGCTATTACTTGTTGTCTCCCGGTTCCATTGTTACTAGTAATAAGACAACTTTCCTTTAAACCTTAAAGGAAAACTTTTTTTTTTCCCTGCAGTTCTTAAGATTTCCTTTTTTATTTGTTGTTCTGTCTTTGACTATAATGTAATGGATTTATTCTATTCAGTTTTGGGGATTTGTTTAGCTTGCTGAAAATAAGATTGGTGTGTTTGTCAGGTATGGAAATTGTTTACCTATTAACTCTTAAAAATCACATCTGACACATTGCCTCGCAATCATTTGTTGAGAGCTCTGATAAAATGTATGTTGGAACTTCTCAGGTGACTCCCCATCATCCGTGAGCCATCAGCCTTTCGTCTCCTCGTCCCCCCAAGGTCCACCTGTGATGTCCTCAGAGCTGTCGTCTGCTCATTGGCTGTGTCTCATCAGTAGCCTGAAATTTTCCATTTGCATTTTTTCAAATATTTCTGCTTGTTTTTTTTTTTTCTGAAAAAAATTGATCACTTTAATCATGTATTGTTTTTAGCTCACTTTTTTCAATGCCCTCTATTACTCTACAGCACATGACGAAAAACTTAATCGTAGCAACTTTGAAGAGGCATGTACGCGTAGGCTAAACGTGCACACAGAATGTGTAAATGTGTACAATCTGTGTGTATCAGAGCTCTCTCAGGCTCACGTCACTCTGTTGTAGGGTAGATCTAGCTCACACAGGTAGGAAAGGAGTGTGGCACTGACCTCTTCTTCTTTGTCATTCTCTTCATCTACTCTACCCAAAGGCCTGCTGCTGCAAGGAACCCCCCCAGATGAGGGGGTGGGGCTGTGGACATAGACACCATCAGCTTCGTAGTCAAGGGCCCCCGGTGATACAATATGAGAGCCACAAAGAGGCTGAGGGTATGTCCCAGCGCAAGTTTCTACTCTCCACCTATTTTATCAGTGTATGGAGGGGGTCAAGGAGGACAAGATGGGGAGGTTGTCTAGAAAGACATTTCAGTAGTCCCACTGAATTGATGGACATAAGCCTGAACCAAGAAACAAGACATCAGTATCATTATCATGGATAGGAAAGGAGTATGTGTTTGAGAATTAATTTAGAGATAAAATTAGCGGCAGTAAGTGAGTGGTTGCTTCCAGGGAAAGACAGTTGAGGACAACCAGCACGTTCTAGCTTGAGTAACTGATTGGAAGGATGGTGAGTGGAGGGTGGTAGCTATCAGTGGGTGAGATAAGAAATTGAGGAGAAGGCTGAGTCTTAGGTATCTGCAGGACATTCAAAACCAGAACCCCAGTAGGCCCCTGAGCCAGAATCTCAGGGGAGCGCTCCAGGAGGGAGGCAGGGATCTGGGGCTGATCAGCATGCGAGCGGTGCCGAGTGCCCTGGGCATTGTGTGAGGGAAGCCAGGCTGACAGTGCATCTTCCGGGACCACACACGTGTGAAAAGTTGACAGAGGAAACAAATCACAAACAAAGCTGATAGTCAGAGAGGTAGAAAGCACACTGGTGGGGCTGTCACAGACAAGAAGGAAGAAGGCATTTTTGTGATTTTGATGAGAGAAATATCACATCAACTTGACTCCTCTTCCCACAAGACCATAATGATTTCCAAAGAGTTATACCTCCAATGATGAGATTTCAAAAGACCTCCTATTAATTACCTGTTTTTCTTAATCAAGGGAAAGTGGCAACTCAGGCTCCCTCTAATAGATATTCAGCAGTCAAGTCTCCACACGTGAGGAAATCAGAGAAGCCAGCACATCCTGAGTGCAATGGATGAGTCCCACCCTGGGGAAATCACCTCGGTGGCCCTAGCACTTCCCCTGCCAGGTAAGTATTCATTATGTACTACTGTGCAACAAATTATCACAAATTTAATTACCTAAACTACACACATTTATTATCTCAGTTTATGTGGGTCAGAAATCTGGGCACAACTTAACTATTTCAGGGTCTCAGAGGACTGCAATCAAGGTATCAATCAAGGTGTGGTCTCACTCGAGGCTTGACTGGGGAAGGACCTGCCTCCAAGCTCATGAGGCTGTTGAGTTATTGTAGGTTGTCTGACTGTGACCTCAGTTTCTTACTGGCTGTCTGCTGGGGGCTGCCCTCAGTTCCTAGCCATGCGGTCTCCTTTGGAAGGGAGCCTACAACACAGCAGTGAGCTTTTTCAATGTCAGCAAGGGAGGGAGTGTCTCTCAACAAGACGGATGTTATAAGCTTGTAGTGTAATCACAGAAGTGACATCCCATTACCTCTGCCGCTTTCCTTTGCTTCGAAGCAAGTCATATGTCCAGGGCAAGGAATCACTCAGAAAGTGGGAATCATGAGGTTACCTTAGCATCTGTTTGCCACAGACCTCCTTATATTTCCCCACCATCGATGTATTCCCCTGTCAGCTGTTGGTCTTTCAAGACTAATTGCTGCCATTGTTTACTTGCGCCCACAGGAATTGGGTCACTAGCCCCCTTTGCCTCTAATGCAAAACTTGCTTTTTATCTGGATTTTAAAATGATTCTAATTATCTACACCTGGCCTCTGGAGGCCCATGCTGCTGCTTCTCACTGGGCTATCTCTGGACACGTTGCTTCACTTTTCAGAACTTCAGTTTCTTCCTCTAAAATAAGAAATAATGGTCCCTGTGTCCCTAAAATGTTGGCAGATTGCAGAATTAATCACAGTGATTCATTAACTTGCTTAGCACAGTGTCCAACCCATGGAAGCTACTTCATGGTAGCCATTTCATTTTTCTGCTAGTACGAACATAAAAATAAATGGAAGGCAAAAAGGGTTTCATGTTTATCCCTGTGCTGTACTATTTCAGAAAAGAAGAAAAAGCCATGAGCATGGAAGATTAATGGTGATTATCCACAGCCATGTGACTTAGGGAAAAAAGTGCAATGCAATCTAAGAATTTAAATGTTAACAAATGCTTCAGGCTGAACCAAGAAGTCCTTCAACTGGATTTTCCCCTTCAACTCTGCGTATTATTAAATACTCTTTAAGTTGAGTTCCTCCAGGCTGACATCCAAATGGGAAGTTTGGGCCATTTCTAAATTAAAACTCTGTTTTTCATAATGAAGTTCAAGGTAGAAATGCTGAAGAATAGAGAAACTTGGGTTGTCTCTATCTCTGAAACCCAAACAAAGCTCCCTGAGTGATGGAAACACACAGAGAGTGATTTCATTCTCATATGGGGAATGTGTGGACCCAATTTCATTTGTATTTGTACAAGTGTATAGACAAAAGAGAGGGCCTGGAAAGTATACCTCCAGATGAGATGAAAACAATCTTTGAATATGCATGTAATATTGACAGGATAATTGGAGACATTTTAAAATCCAAATAAAAATTGAGTTTTCCATTAGAGGCCAAGTTGATCCCAGAAGTGGTTCAGCAAACTGGTGTTCACACACTCACAATCTTCAGAGTGTAGGTAGAACGGTCTTGATGTTTTCAATTGACAGTTTATAATTAGTCAGTAAGACATTAAAGTGAGAATTCTCAATGAGTGGCTGGTTGGATGCCGAAAGAGAAGGGAAAGAAAAAAATTTATGTCTTCAAATCCATATGCACAAAGATTGCTGTCGTTTTTGTTTTTGTTTTTTTTTTTTACTTTTATTTAATCTGAATAAAATTCTGCAAGGGGGTGTAAGGGAGAGTGAAGAATTTAATGCCGCTTCACCACTCCCTCCTTCATGCAACCCCTCATCACCCATGTACTCACCACCCACTCACTCCCTCATTCCTCCAGATACCCATTGATGTATCGTTAATTAACGCATTCATTCATATTTTTATTCATTCATCATTCACTCGCTCCAACAACGTTTTTGGAACATGTCACCTGATTGAGGAGCTGTATTAGGCCTATTACAAGGTGCTCACCATTCAGGGGTTGAGGAGGATGGAGTGAGAGGAGTGTGTGTGTGTGTGTGTGTGTGTGAGGACTCCAACACATAAGTGCACTGCTGAGTTACTGTATAGAGACTGTGACTGTGAGTCAAAGAGCCTGAGGAACCTCCACCCTTTTCTGCTTTGAATGCGGTACTTCTAGAAATTTCTAGAGGAAAATAAATGTTGGCAAATGAAGAGATCTAGAGGAAAGGTCTCCCTTCCTGACATTTGATTGACTATAGAAGGGAGAGCTTCTGCAGAACCGAGTCTTGGAGGGTCAGATGCTAACACTCTAAGAGCAGACAGAGCAGAGGGGAGACCTCCAACCAAAGATACAGCCCATGCTCTCCTAGCTCTTGACCTGGGACATAGGTGCTCACAAGAAAGTAGTTGTGATTGATCATTGTGCTTTCACCCCTGGAGTTGATCTTTGCTTATTCAGATTCGCCTTCAGAACTCTCAAGGTCTGATCTGCCTCCCTAAGTAGAGTCCATCTGGATGTTTAGAATGCAGACCCTGAATTGATTTGGGCCTTGAACTCTGCTACCCATTGCTAGACACATCCATGGGTCTCATCAAAAAGAAAGGGACTTGGGGCCTCCCCAGTGGCGCAGCGGGCTGAGCACTACACTGTGAAGCTGTCCACAGCCTCTGCAGCACGGGTTCAATTCCTGGCCGGCCAGGGAGAAACCCACATGGTGTGGCAGACCTCTCCTGCCTCGCCCGCTGCTCCCCTCAGCAGTGCTTTCAATCCATCTGCCTGTTCTGCAACCTGCTCTCTCTGGTGAATTCTCTCACCCTCCCGCGCCTCTGAACTGTACCCCAACTCTTGAATAAATAAATAATAAATTTTAAAAAAAGGAAAAAAAAGAAAGGGACTTGGGCAATGACTAAAGGAGTTTGACTATTTCTCTGCTTACCACTGTGTGATTTCAGACACATTACCCAACCTCTCTGAGCCTCCATTACATCATCCACCCTATGAACAAATGTTTTGCTAATAAGTTACATAGTTTCAGTGCTTTTTCTCTGTGTGCTAGAGTTCTTATGCAGCATCTTACATAGCTTTTTACATATAGTTCTCAAAACGCTTCTGGGAGGTAGGTAGCTTGGCAAATCAACTCATTGTTCAGAAATATGCATTGTACCCCCACTCCACGTGCAGGGGCCGAGTCTGCTTCTGCACTGAATGACTCTGCTTGCTCATTTGATTCCATCTGACCTATGGCCATTGACCATCATCATGTGACCAAAATCTTCAGAAATGCTAGTCAGATGCAGCCTGCCCTCTGTACCTCTGCCTTTGCCAGAAGAACCTGCCACTTGCAAGGCCACTTGCCCAAGGAAGATGAAAACATGAGGTGCATCCCAGCTACCCACAGACCTGCAGTGACAATGAACACAGAACTGTGGCAGCACCTAAAATCAGAACCATCCAGCTGAGCCCCACCTGGGTGGGTCATTGCTTAGCCCAATCACAGATCCATAAGCAAGAATGGTTGGTGCACAATTGAACGTTGTGGTGGTTGGTTATGCCCCAAACCTGATACAATGGCATTCTTATAATCTCTACATCATAGACGAGCATGCTGGAGAACAATAAGATTAAGTAAAATGACCAAGGTAGTAAGTTGCTGAGCTGGGCCTTGATCTTTTAATCTCTCTGCAATATTGCCTCTCGCTGAGCATTGCCTCCTTTATAATATGATCTAATCTGAGGGTGTTAGGAGAATGAGAAATATGAGTGCAAAACACCTTGCCCTGCGCCTATTAATTTATTGAGCGTGCTGCTACATGCCAGACCCTGCTCGAAGAGCTTTGCATGAAATTAGAATAATAACAATATCGGCCACTCTGGTTACTCAAGGAATTGCACGGCAGGTCCCCATAGATCTGCGGTGCTGGCCTCTGTGAACTGAGGGGTCCTGAGGCCCAAGAATCCAGCCTGTGCCTCTCAGCACGGTCAGGCCGCCGCACCGCCCAGCCCAGAGCAGATGCCCGGGGTCTTTGGTGGAAGACTGTTTTAGGAATTATCTGGAAATGTGGTGCCTCCTTACAGATAAGCAGTTTCCCCAAAACCTGTGACAATAGCGAGCCTGAACAGCTTTTATCTCAACTAAATTTGTTAGCCCTCATTTCTTGCATTTATTTCTTTAAATATATATGTATGCATACATTTATACATACATATATATATATATATATCCTTGTTTTTTTCTTGTTTCTTTCATAGTCACAGACACAACCACACATATATACTCTTTTGTCAAAACAGTAGCTCAACAATAACATACTGCACCTTGGCAAACCCGCTGCCCTGCTAAAATTACACTAAACGAAGTTTGTTGTTGGTTACATTTTTAAAAAGACATCATATCCCATCTCATCAACTTCAAGTTAGAAATCACTCAGAATCTTGGGCAGCAGCACATAAGCACACATTGTGCACGCATGCACACACATACGCATGCACACACACACACAAAGCCGCCTTTTGCACCTCGTGCAGTTCTGTCATATCAGTTGCCAACACAGAAGGGGCTCATGTCTGAGTTTCTTTGCTGCTCCTAATTACACTGAGACAGGAACGCTTGTGTCTTTTGCCTGGGAGAGCCGTGTTTTTCCCCAAGGTCCAGAGAGAGTCTCTCTGCCTTTGTCCTTCGGTTTGGCTGAACGTGGGCAGTTAGATGTGCCCCTACTTGCCTGTGATGTGCCAAGCGGGCGCCTGGGAGATATGTGTCCTTGGCAATGATGTGGCTTTGTCTGTGGCACAAAGGCAGAGCTGAGGTGGTGAGGAAAATCCCACAGCCCAGCCCCACAGCCCAGGGTTGACAAAGGCCCTGGGTGCAACAGTCCCGCTGTCTCAGGTGCTGAATTCAGTACCGATGTGACTCGTTTGACCTTATTTTTTTTCCCTTTTGATCGAACATTTAAAAACAGA